ACCAAAAACCTCAAAACTCATCTCACGAACAAAATTGATAACTAATAAACCAAACAACAGCACACATTATAGTACAATTTACTATTTTTCCCTAAGATCAGTTCAAAAACAATTCATACTTGGACAAAACCTACCATTAAATATAAAATTAAAATTCCAGTCGACTTCTAATTCACTCAGAAACATGGCCCTAAATTAAAAGTCTTACTACACAAAAATATAGAACCACACTAAACCAATGTCACTTACAAAATAACATGCAATAATCGCCTAGAATTTTATATCGTAGAAACCGGAAGGAAATTGGAAACCAGATTTACCGAACATAATAAAAAATCCTCTCATGTTCCCTATCATTGCAACTAGAAAAAACGTAGCATCTTTATTAAAAACATTGTAATATTAAACAAACGCAAAATCCTGGAAACCATCTTAATTGAACAACACAGCCCTATTCTAAACCAACACTCCAGGGCGCCGAGATATATTTACTAAGCTGTTAAACAAGCTCCGGTCATGTGACTTCTCTATACTGTACACATATTCCCGTGTCTAGGTTAACTACTTGTATATGATGGTGACAAAACCCTGTAGAAACGTTGTATATTTATTATTATGTTAAACTTATAAAAACATTATCACCATTACCCATTGAAACCGTCTCCAAACTTTATTATTAGTAGTAAAATTATTATTAGTATTATTAATTATTATTAGTATTATTATTAATTATGATTAGTATTATTAATTATTAGTAGTATTATTAATTTATTATTAGCATTGTTAATTATTTTAATAAAAAACTTTATTATTAGCAATCGTTCATTTTTTAACTAGATGTTTAAAAAATATTGGTATGTAATCCCAAATAATTATTACTACTCGCCAGAAACCATGACTTACTATTATTACATGTCCAAAAAAATGACCATACAGTTAGTCTATTAGATGACCAACCGTAAACAGTAACTAAACTCTTGATACTGTGCTTTTGAATAGTATGTCTAAAATGCTAAAAACAAAGGTTGAACAAGCCCAAGGATAGCCCAAAGGTGTGCAGAATAAAACGTATTTTTAGTTATTGTATTTCCTAATATGGCGCGCATGTTGTTGTGAATGCTGTATTTTCTGGCACGTGTGTTATATTTTTGCTTTGGATTGGTGTGTTTCTGGGGGTCTCCTGTTGGTTTCTATCGTTTAGATATCTGTATTAAAGTAGGGTGGCATGTGGGTGTGTTATAGTGATTGCAGCTTCTCCTGTGTGATATAGGTTTTTATAATGTTTTCTTACTACTGGATTTCTTTGGGTGGAAAGCGTTTAATTTTTAATGTATTTATTGAAACGGTGAAGGGGAGTATATTGTAAAGATCAAGGTATCTTAGGGGTGGCGCGGGTGTGTGTGTGTGTAAACTGTTTATATGCTTTCTTGGATAACAAGATGTCTTCCACTTTGAGTTATGTATTTCTTTGAGTTTCGCGAGTGATATGTTATTTTTCATTGATGATGAAGGGAAGTATTCTGTATGATCAAGGTGTTTTTTAAATGATGCGGAGAGTATGCCGTATTCCTGTCGGACTCACATGAGAAGTCCATACATAATTTTATTAAACAGAGAACAGAAACAGATATAAGAAAAATTGATGGGATCTGTGGATCTTTACTCTTTAATGTTTCCAAGAAATAACCTATACCCATGAAATTTGTAGAACGACCGACTTTTTCCATTTCTTTCAAATCCACTATTCCTAAAGGAAAGTCAATATTTTTCTTTAAATTCAAATGTTTGGCGCAAATGCTGATAAGTTCCAAGCGTACAGTTTTCTTGTCGCACTATCAGGTTGACGCCCATTCAAAGTCAAGTAAGCTCAAAAAAGATTAAAGTTATTATTGTCAGTCACGAACAGTAGAATATTATGCTAGCATTTATAAAACAGCACTTCCTTTGAGGTTTCAGACTTTTCAATTAACTAATTATGGATGGACTCTTTCTACCATACGACCTATGAATTAGCGTTTGAATGAGATCCGTTCGGATGTGTGAGTTAGACATTTTTTTTAAAAATGAAAGTGAAGTTTCAACACATGAACACATAAAACTTTAATGCAGAACGAATCACTTTACAGGGCCCCTCTTGTCACTTACAGACACGCGTTTAATGTTCCAATGATTTTTTTTTAATATAAAAGGGCTTAGTCTATTTTAGATACAAAAAGGAAAAACCACTGGTTTTAGAATAATGCCAGTCATTCCACTCGGTTTATTTTTTATAAAAATTAGTGATCTGTCATGTAGTTTTAAATACAAAGGGTTAGTCATTCAGCTTACACTCGTAAATAAACATTCAATAGAGGAGACTTCACATCTTTACAATTCATGGCATTTCACTCCAATAGGAATTATGATTACCATGAACAGTTAAGGTAGCTTTATCGATGTCGCATGCTTAAAATCAGTGTTGATAAGGTATTCTCGAACTTATGTTTAGAAGAGCTGTTTCTGGACGCTGTGGTGCGAAGTGTTTCCTAAAATTATCCCATATTGCACCTCAAAGAATCATAGGATATGGTTCCTATTATGTACGACTTTAATGGTACCAATCCATAGTATTCAACGTCAGTATGTCCACTAGCGTTTATCTCAGCCTACACCGCACATCTACAACTGCCATATTTTCCTGTATGAAAATAAATTTGGATATGGTTTAGATTCTCTATAAATTGATGTAAGCCTAGCTGCAAGGTGAAAAGCAACTCAAGTGTACATAAAATATTGTTCTAAGTGTCGTTGGTTCATTGGCTGTATTTTTGGCATCGTTGTATCCGAACTGTTTAGTGCCTTACTGTGAGAAGAATGCACCTCACTGGGTACTTGTCGTACAAAAAATGCTATTGTGAAGTATGTTTTTAATCGTCAGTACACTGATATGGCTGCGAACATTTGCTTCAGTATCAGAGTAGGTGCACTACATGGCTAGTCAGACAGATAACATTTATCTGCTTTGTCTAAGTGTTAAAGCAATTATACCATTAATTTGGAAGCGGTTCCACATTCTACTAAGGGTAATTTGTTACACTTGCAACAATGGATGATATCCTGTTGTGATTGGTCAGCCTAATTTGTCCCATGACTTGCTACATGAAAGAAACACCCAGATGTCTTCTATGAGGTCTAGCCACAGATGTAAACAATTTGGAGAATTATAAGTGCTGTGCTTCACTTCAAGGAGACAAGACTGTATAAATGTAGCGTAGGCTGAATAATGAACCATTCGTAGTTCAGATCCATTGACTGATCATCAGAAGGCCGAGGGAATGATTAACGTTATAACAGTGATTTTGCCTTGTTATAGCTATACAGTTACTAATGCTGATTATTTTGTAATTGTATTGTGCAGTGTAAATGGTTGAAATGAAGATTCCTCTATATAAAATATCTAAAGTTTTGGGAGACGTGTTTGGATAAACTGCTCAAGAAAATATTTATCCGGTTTAGACAGGAAAAAAGTTTGATTGTAAATTTATATAACAAAATGAGTAATATACTTTTATTACGAGGAAAAACCACACAAAGAAGTTTCAAGAACCCAAATACACTTCCAGTATAGAAGCCATGAGGTGTATTTAAAATATTTTAAAATATCATATGATGCAAAATTTTACATTATTACAGAAAAAGTGTGTCATGTAAAAGATATATCTATAATAATAAAAGGGCGTGTCTGTGTGTTTGTGTGTGACCGTCATAGCTCCAAGGGAAAAGAACCTATAAACCTGAAATTTTGTACAAAAACTAAGGGTTTGCACCTAGGTATTATTACTTCTCTACGAGCGTTTGCGCATGCGCGTGTGCAACGTTTTATGCGACAAAAACATAGAAAAGAAACGTGCACGTGCGTGCGAGAATGCGCATCTTTTTATGTGGCAAGCTAGCGTAAAATCACATAGAAAAGAAGTAGATCCTTAAATTACAAATATAAATCATCACAGACAGACAGACACGCACGAGTGTGCGTGCGCGTACATGTCTGTGTATTTGTCACCGTCATAGCTCCAAGAGGAAAGAACCTAGAAATTTGAAATTTTGCTCCCTAACTAAGTGGACCCTGAGGGCTTGCATCTGGGTATTATTACTTATGTACGTGCGTGCGCATCTTTTTAATGAGAGATGAAAGGGTAGAAAACTACATAGTAAAAAAATTGGTTCTTTGTATTACAAATTATAGATATAAATTAGAGACAAACAAATACGCAGACGTAACAAAAGTATATTGGTTATACTTTTATGCTAAAATGGGTTTAGAATACACAAACTGACATAGTAATCTAGAATAAAACAACTTAATATCCCGAGCGAAGTTGCGTACTTTTACTAGTATATATATATATATATATATATATATATATTTATTTATTGTTCAAATATATGTACCAGATGTCTTTCTTTTCCACGATGTATTGAATTCCTAGCTGTAATCTGTCTTAACCTAGAATCTTCATCAGACATGCAAAGAAACTTAGCTTACACCAACAATGGATAATGCTGCCAAAATTCAGAAAATGATTCCAAAAGAAGAAGAAGAAGGTAATAAATTTGATATATTGAATCTTGTACCTAAGCCAACTATTACAAAACAATGCATAAAGGAGAAACGTTTGTGAATTGTGTCTTATTTCTTACTAGCGTAACATAAAGTAAAGAAGTCCACAGTTTCCTTTTGAGATAGGAAAAAGAACGGAACATTTTTGAAGCAATTTATGTCTTTTCTTTGTTGTATGTTACTGTGTTTTATTCTAATCCATTTTAAAAAGAAAGATTTAGATTAGGTTTAATATCGAAGCCTTTTGCAAAGACTATATGACAGTGACAAATCTTTTTTGATGGTAAAAGAGCATTTTTCTTGTTTCTCTATATAATTTGATTCCATCATCCAATGCTGTTGAATTTAGTACACAAAATACTGCAATGGATATCGGTTAAGAAATTGTGGTATAACTCACCCTTGCTGCTAGAGACGACGTTGGTTTCTCAAGAAGGTCCCACAGGAACTTCTGATATTGGGCTAAGCGCCCTTCTCCAAATTCTTCTTCTTCCCCCTTTCTAAGAGATTCAGCTTCTTTACGCATCTCTTCATGTACATGCTCTTTTCGCTGGTGGTATTTGTGCTGGCAGCAAGACTCTAAGTATAACTCATCGATGCCCCAATACTCAAGGTCGTCGCTGAAGGCTAACACGCACATTTCTTCCACCAGGTGGAGCTTTCCCGTTCGGTAGAAGTTGAGCACTGAGCTGAACGACCGCGGATGACGGTCGAAGAAATATTCGTTGTCCACTAGACTGTAGTCGTCGCACAACTCCATGATCGCCTCATGTGTGTTACACTCCCGTAGACGGCCTAGCCTGGTGTGTGGAAGCCTTTCTAGAGTGCGCCACAGTACTTCATGCTTCACTCCTCCAACATTGATGGTGATTCTCCGATTTAAAGCTTTACTGCGCATGATCATGAAAGGTTCAGGGTGCAACGATGACATTGATCTTGAGTGTGTCCGATGCATGTTGCATTGGAGAGGCATGATTCCACTCGTAGGGAGGGTGTCAGCAGCAACGCTCTGAAACGGTGCACAGCCATCTTGGAAAAGTGGTGGTTGATGAATTTGGTGGGTTGGAGAAGTCGTACTGTACGGTGGTGGGACAGGGGGCGATCCCGCTCCTGGTTTGTCCACCTTCTCTGAGCCTGTCATACTCACGGTTTCAAAAGGTGCCACCGCGAGAACAAGCCTTGGTAGTTGATTGGTCTGACAGTCAGGAGTGTAGATCCGCTTCAGGGTGAAGGAAATACTACATTTGAGAGAGGACGTTGCATGACGAATGAAATCTAAGTTAATGCAGGGTTATACTTTATATTCTCCATACTTACTTCACTAGGTTACCATTAGTGACTACCTCCAAAATTATAAATGGGAAAAACAACCGTAAGATAGTTTTCACGCATTTGACAAAGCTTGAAACAGAATTTGCTGAAAGATGTAAAGACTTGGTGTTTGTCCATAATTGTTGTCTTTCCTTCCTATAAATAGAAATTAAAATTTGATTGAAACACAATTTTTCAATTCAATAACAAGCATTTATCATATTAGTAAGAAACAAGAAATCGATATTTCGAGCATTGTCCATCAATAATACCAAAATCTTCAGATTTTATCATTCCAAAGGATACTTATTGTGTATCCAATATCCTGATTTTATATTTTCAAGCTCAAAGTTCACACAAACTAAATCAGTTACAGTATTCTGCTGGTCAGACGTATTAACAAATGAACATATTTGTAATTCTCTAATAAATATGCAGTTTAATAAAATGGATGTCCATATTTTTTTTTGTAATTCGAATTGTATGGAAAAATATTACTACGACATATTTTGGTTAATGTCATGATGCTGATCCAATCTTACAAGAATAGAATGAATTAATTAAAACAAAGAGTGAATAATACAAAAATACAATACCATTTGCAGCTCTATATACAATGCACATTAGGTTTGTGAAATAACTAAATAATGGACACAAATCTACGCCTAAAGGCTACTATTACACTGTAATTAATGCTAATATATATTCCACAAAAGAGTTAAAGGATAATTGGATGCTATAACCATTGTTCATTGTTACACAAATCAGGCATCTGACGATCCGTTCTGTGATCTGAATGCAAATGATTGGTCATTTAGTCTATTGGTCGTTTCGTATATGAGTGTGAACACACATTTGGAAGAACTGACTTTATGTTGTTACAACCATTGCATTTCACTTTAGTACGGAGTATGATCACCAAGAACAACAACTGAGTGAGACCAGTGTTGCATGCTTGAAATAAGAGTTTGATACAATTCTAAGGTATCATCGACCACTTCTCTGACAGAGATGATCCCATGACATCTTTTGTGCTTGGAAACATTTGGAAAGATGTATCTCAGATATATCCAACACATTATCCATTAAGCGTAAAACCACTTTGTTCGTTTAATTCTTACTTCTTCAAGTAATATATCGACCAGTTTAATATGGTTGGAATATGTTTTAGCATCTGTTAAGCTGAAGTCAGAGTTAGTTTCAGTACTATAACAATACAAAAGATCTCAAGATATGGACCCTGTAATATGTGGCATTAGTAGTACCATTACATAAAATGTAGAGGTTGATATGTCCACCAGCGCTTATTCCTGCCCATAGAAAACTGGATGTTCAATCAGTTTTATTTTCGATACCACTTCTTATAATTAGATAACTGATTTAAGTAACGATGGACTGAGAAAAATGATTGACGTTATTTCATAACAGTAATTTTGCTTTATCATTGGTAGCATGTATAAAAACAGTTATTTTAAATTGTTTTATGTGCACGATATTACGTTAGTATAATTAAACAAATAATTACAATTACCTCTCCCCCAAAAAAACCCAAACAACAACAACACAAAACCAAGCAACTACAACAGGCAAATAAACAAACAAAAAAACGATGAATCATAAGGTCTTAAAATATGTTAAACAGCAGGCAGAGAACATTCTCTTTCCAGCCATTTTTGTTTGCCACATTTAAACATTTTCGTTAATCTTGCAGAAACTGGAGTTAACTTTTGAGGAAAGTTGAATCTGTCTTTGAAGAAAACTACCTCCCAACTGAATTATATTCCGTAAAAAATGTGCATTATTACTTTTAAATAGAGTCCTTCATCAGCAAACAACTGAATAGAACCCAGTATTTATCTATTCATCTTGCTTGTCTATTTATTCTTGCAATCTACTTACCAGCTTCTGTGTCAAACGACACAAGTGTTTTCATCTTGCACATATAATAAGGAATATAGTACTCAGAAATTCCACTTTAAACAACCACACATAATTTATCATTGGAATACCCGGAAAAAAAATGAGTTTTTGTATATGATTATTTCCCCAAGAACGTTAAATCAAACGTATTATTGGGATTGAAGTTTCTTTGAAATTTTTTGGCCAAATTGTTTAAATGTTAATGATAATATTATCCTTTGATGACAATTAATGGGGTAGGGTATCATATGCTCCCCCTCCCTGAAAAAGAGAAAAAAGAAGTAGTTTAACATTTTTATACTGATTTTTATGTTGAGCAATGTCAGTTGCAGACCTTTTAAAATATTACAGTTAATTACCCGAATGATGCAATTAACTGGAATAAGAAAATTGCATTCGACGCTACATGTTTTGATTAGTGGTTGAATGGTGTTCTTTAGATACACTTTTAGTCCTTGAGTAATGTTTCAATATGCACTACTCTCTGCAGAAGTGAACTGACATATCCAGCATTAAGTAAAAGCACAGTTGAGTGTAACTAGCTCACTTTCGTTTTTAAAACTAAAGTCAGGCCTAATGAATATCCACCATATGATGCTAATAAAACCTGATGTTCAAAGTTTTAGTTATACACAGAAGAGTCGTGTTTTGCTCAATTGTTTTGATTTACAAAATTCAGCCACTGGAAACTTATTGTATATTGCACAACATATAATAAATTGAAACAATTGAAACTAAGAACCATCGTACGAGAAGCTGGCAAACATTTCACATAAACAGTGCAGAAAAAAAACTAACTAATATATGATAGTGTAAGTTACGAAACACTTTTTCGTGAATTCCTGAAAGAGTTAAAGTTTGAGCTGAATACCTTTCACGAAAGAAAAAATAATAATATGAACACTTTAAGAATTAGCATCAGTTATGTATGTCTTATGGATGCTCAGTGGGAAGCTACGGGGTGGGTTATAACCCTCAAATTTGGGTTAGTTTCAATCATCTTTTCACACTCTTCAATTGCCTTCTACATTTTATCACAGATGGCAACATTAAGGATAAGAAATGTTTCTGATAAAGAACCTTTGTTCAGGTTTTTGATGTCGTGTATAAACAGCACATCACGATATATTTACTGTACACAAATATTCACCCTGTCGGAATGGCTATTGTACTCTATTACTCATCATCATAGAGTGGTTATTGAAAATTACTACTCATCATCAGGGTCTTTATTGTACTCTAAAACTCATCATCATGGATTGGTAATTGTATACTAATATTCATCATCATGGAGTGGTTATGTACACTACTACTCGTCATCATGGAGTGTTTAATGTACATTACTACTCATCATCACGGAGTGTTTAATGTACATTACTACTCATCATCACGGAGTGTTTATTGTACACTATTACTCATCATCATGGAGTGTTTAATGTACATTACTACTCATCATCACGGAGTGTTTATTGTACACTATTACTCATCATAATGGAGCAGTTATTGTGTATTACTATCTATCGTCATGAAGTGGTTATTGTGTATTACTATCTGTCGTCATGAAGTGGTTATTGTGTATTACTATCTGTCGTCATGGAGTGGTTATTGTGTACTACTATCTGTCGTCATGGAGTTGTTATTGTGTACTACTATCTGTCGTCATGGAGTGGTTATTGTGTACTACTATCTATCGTCATGGAGTTGTTATTGTGTACTACTATCCATTATCACCTAGTGTTTATTGTACACTACTACTTATCATCACTTAGTGTTTATTGTACACTACTAGTTATCATCAATCAGTGTTTATTGTACACTATTACTCATCATAATGGAGCAGTTATTGTGTACTACTAATCATCACAAAGTGTATATTGTACACTGTTACTCATCATAATGGGGTGTATATTGTACACTATTACTCATCATAATGGGGTGTATATTGTACACTACTACTTATCATCACGGAGTGTTTATTGTACACTACTACTTATCATCACGGTGTGTTTATTATACACTACTACTCATCATAATGGGGTGTATATTGTACACTATTACTCATCATCACGGTGTGTTTATTATACACTATTATTCATCATCACGGACTGGTTATTGTACACTTCACCACTCACCTGCTATGCTGTATTATCTTACACTGTTACTGATAATCGTAAAGTGATTATCATACATTACAACTCACCATCTTCATAATGTTTACAGAAAGTGAATACGTTGCACTTAGCTACTGAAGAGAGTATAGTCGTACTTACCAACACAAAGAGGCTGTTGTATACTAACACTCGGCAACAGTAAAACGAAGTGTCATTCGTGAGAGTAACTTCAGTTCTTCCACTTTGAAACTGAAAGATCAGAACATTTTAAATTAAATTAACGTAAATACATAAAGTCCATGACATAGCAGTATTCACAGAAGTTCACGACTTTTTTCAGTCAAAGTAGTGTTAACACAGATTTCCGAATTTCAAGGATGAAATAGCTAACTTTTTATTGCATGACTTTGATTTCAACAAGAGTCTGTCATGAACTACCTTTCACGGAAGGAAGGGTAATATGATCAATATTTCATACGACCTGCTTCTCACTTCTTTCCAAACATGCAATGTTAAGAACACACAGAGGGAGCTTGCATGTATTTTTGTCATACACGTTAGGGACCATTTACAATTATATGGGAAATTAACAATTGAGCTGAAGATTCTTTGAAAAATGTAGTTTACTGAATGACTTGCAAAGCTAGTTTTAATAAGATTTTTTATTCATAGTGAGAGAAAAATCATAAACAAAACGTAATAGATATATGCTGGTGACGGTCTTTAAGTGTCGTAAAAAGTGTTTTCCTAGTGACGCAGAATGTTTACACTGACAACGTGAATGCAACAGACAGAATCTTTAATCAATAAATGAATGCTATTATTTCTTAACTCACTGCGCAGTCTCAGTAACAACAGCTGAAAGATCACGAAAGAACGTTTCTTTCTGTCTGGTAAACCCTGTAGCTCGAAATATTTGGTCCACAGCTCAAGTCGATAAAGACTGAACCCACACATCTGGGTTGGGTGGGGCAGGATAATATCGACGAGAGGAAAAATTTTAGCTTGTATACGCTACTCTAACTGCACCTAGAAAATGATATACTTAAACTAATATTATCTATGTATTTTTACATGACATTTAAATCTAGTTTTAGAAGTTTCAGAAAAACTTAGTCTCCCTCTCCTTAAAAAAAACCATATAGTTATAGGAACACTACCAAAGTTTTAGTGACTTTTAAATATAGATAGGATTATTATTTAAGTTGCCACAAGAAAAATATTTGTCACTGGGTTGTCTTACCATCAAACGTTAAGTCTCATTTAGAGCTAAAGAAATGGTTAATTATACAGTTTTTTAGTATTAAATTAAAATTGAAAAAAAAACCCAACAAATATTGAAAGTGTCACCAAAATGGATTTTACTTAAATACCAAAAACGAAGTGATTTTCAAGAAATTATTATGCAATTTTTGGCTTCTCTTGAAAGAAAGTGCAAAAACATAGAATTAACACCAACAAGTAAGGCTTTCATGAACATAAAAAAAGTGAAAATCAGAAGGCTTTATCAGAAAGTAAGGCTTGCTTTTCGTACAAAAAACATGCTAAACATGTTAGTTCGTCTAAGAATTAATTCTTTCTTAAAGCCAAAGAAAATGTTAATTAAAGCTACACATACAACAACAAAGGAATACTAATTACCAGATTCTCCATAAAAATGAATTTTTAAGTTAATGTAAGTTAAGGTGTTGAACCCGGAATTATCAAGGAAAACTAGGCCTAACTTAACTATAAAGACTGGTCATATTGTCATCTCGCTAGTCATAAGCTTATGAAACAAGAGTGATATGTGCTAAGTTTGTTAGAACATTGACAACAGAGACTAAACCGGTTATTTTTTAAAGGTAGTTCTCGAGATTTCTTTAAACTTTTAAGAAACGCAGAAAAGAAACAATAGTTCATTATTTCATAATTCGATATCTTCCAAACTTTCATGAAAAAGATCCTTGTAGCGCATCTATATGAATATTAAAGTACTGTCTGTTGTCAGTTCTATTTCCATGTAACTACTTTGCAGGGTGTGTATGGATCTTCACCAAAATTCGCATGGAGGTACATTAGGTCTGTGCGATCTTCATCAAAATCAGTATGGAGATTCATTAGGTCTATGCGATCTTCACCAAAATTGGTATGGTGGTTCATTAGGTCTATGCGATCTTCATCAAAATTTGTATGGAGGTTTATTAGGTCTATGTGATCTTCATCAACAATTGTATGGAGGTTTATTATGTCTATGTGATCTTCACCAAAATTGGTATGGAGGTCCATTAGGTCTATGCGATCTTCATCAAAATTTGTACGGAGGTTTATTAGGTCTGTGCGATCTTCATCAAAATCAGTATGGAGATTCATTAGGTCTATGCGATCTTCACCAAAATTGGTATGGAGGTTCATTAGGTCTATGCGATCTTCACCAAAATTGGTATGGAGGTCCATTAGGTCTATGCGATCTTCATCAAAATTTGTACGGAGGTTTATTAGGTCTATGTGATCTTCACCAAAATTGGTATGGAGGTTTATTAGGTCTATGCGATCTTCATCAAAATTGGTATGGAAGTTCATTATGTCTATGCGGGAATACATACAAACTTTCAGTTTTGCATTTTGCGTTTTTTACTACTACTTCGCCCCTACTGATGTATCTTCATCAAATTTGGTGTGGAGGTTCGTTGGGTTCATGGAAAGATACATGCAAAGTTGCGGTTTTACATTTTGTGTTTTGCAGTTTCTATGGACGTTTTTGCGTTTTCTACAATTACATATATGGGAAGAATCTTTTCATGTCCGAAGATAACCTTTCATTAACCCTGAATTCACATAACGGGGACGGGTACTCCAGCTAGTTTGTAATGTATTTTTGAATCAACAAGAAGTGTTTATTTATCATGCCAGCGTTTTGCAATCTAAATGGTCCTTGACTCTCAGAAGATTTTCCTAACCAGAATAACAGTGATAAAGATAAGCCCCAGATCATGGTCCCGTGTAAAGCATAACAATGTTAAACGTTAGCCTCAAATCAATGTTAAATGTAAGCCCAGATCGTGTGGACGTGTAGTGTATGACAATGTACAAAATGAGCCAGAGATCATGGTCACGTGTATAGCATAACAATGTTAAAAGTAAGCTCCACATCATTATTACGTGTATAATATAATATTGCTAAAAGTAAGCTCCATGTCATGGTGACGTGCATAGTATAACATTGTTAAAAGTAAACCCCAGATTATGTGTATTATATAACAATGTGCAAAATGAGGTAGAGATCATGGTCACGTGTCTAATAGAACAATGTGAAAATAAGCCTCATATCATGGTCACATGTATTGTGTAACATTTTAAAAGTAAATCCTAGATCATCGTCACGTGTATAATATACCAATATTAAAATTAAGCCGTACATCATTTAAAACACTTTATCTTTATATCAAATATAATGTTCTAAGGCACTTGTATTTGTTTTTATAATATCGCCAGTGAAAGTATTTTCTCAACAAATAGCTTAGGGGTCACTCTTGTGTGTATTTGCGGTATATCATATATAATATACTCTACGTTCATACATCATGATGTATAATTACCTCTTTTTTAGAATACTTATATCATTATATAGTATTAGACCACATGTAAGGCCTTAACAAATAAAAATAAAGGGAAATTAACAGAATTGTACATTTTTACTCTACGGTTTCCGAATATTATTTATTTATTCATTCTTATTTTTATGTGCTTTTAGACGTAATGGTTTTATCAATGCCTTTGAACTTTAAGTTTGTGACCTGATAACATTCAAGTTGCATACAGTTGATTATATAGAAATTATGTTTTGGAACCGTTTGACTTCTTAACGGACGAATAGTCTGAACATTTTACGTTTTTGTCTTTCATAACTTATGTACCAGGTCTGTCTGTCTTCTATTATCCATACCTATTAAAGAATCATTGTACTTTAACAAATAGGAAAACCAAGAATTTTCCATGTATAGAAAAAATGCTCACTTAAAAACATACGCGAATTCTTAATTTACTTAAGTTACATTTCAACCCATTTTTAGCAACGAGGCGAAAAATCTTGTAGAAACAACTTAGTAAGTAATTATTCTCCGGATTTTTAGTGTGTAAAGTACTTCTTAATTTAAGAACGTTGAATGCGTTTCTACAAGTATGAATTGTAAAACAATCAATACGTATTCTGTTAGCGTAAGTTAACTTGTTTTTAACGTATTGTAGAAAAGCGTAGTCATTAAGAAGTTCATTTATCCACAGTGGAAATTCATTGCACAGTGTGTAGAAATCCGTAATTGTACAATATTCAACCAAGAAAAATTTGTAATCAATAACAAAACACGCAGTAATGTCTGAATTCGTATAATTTCATTTATATAATTAAACGTAGAAATAACATAAAAATTAGACATGAAATTATCAATAAAGCCGTATAATGAGATTTTTGATGTAAGAATAATTAATTTGTGAGGGTTACTTATTCACAATACCTGTCTTTTATTTCCTAATATTATAAAAGTGAGCCAAAGGTTCTCTAATTTAAATCATTATTCCATAATTAAACTTTGTCAACAACAATAAGAAAGCAGCAGAGGAGCTAATACTTAATCCGTAAACGACATCACAACATTTATAGCGCCAACAAAACATGCCCACGAATGGCTTTATAATCCTTTTATATACTAGGATCTAAGCACTGATTATTCCCCATTTTTTGAAGATATACGTGGCTGTCGATAATAAAAGGTTACGTGATCTTGTGATGTAATAAAGTTAATACCATAATAAGTATAGAGTTCTTAATAAATCCAAATACTGTTCCTGCTTATATACTTATGTTACGGTTTCGTTTAAATCAATGTTTGATAAAAGTTAAACAAAGATTCAAATGTATGGTCAGTATTATTTGTTTTCAATAAGGATAACTATGTTGTTCGATCGATGCTTACTGATGTAAATGTCCAATTCTTTAAAAACACATATACATATTCTAGTATACTGATTAAATTTCGGGGAAATTGCCTCTATTTTAATTACTTAGATCATTATAGGTTAGCCTAAAATTAATGTAATGAGGTGTAATGTATAACTAAAACCATTATGTACTACCTGTAAGAATGATAAAGAACACCTAAAATGTATACAAACCATAATGAGGTTGATAGTCTCAATAACTGAGGCATATTTTAAATTAACAGTATTATTTGTCCTCCTAAAATAAAAAAAAATGTTTTTGTCACAATTAA